CAAAAGTGTCCAACTGTTATTGTCTTTTCTTTCATCAAATCCCATTGTTCAATACTTGATACTTCGTGAATGCATACATCCGCCCATCATGTCCACCTTGATTTTAGTGTTTTTAAGAAGAGCATCTCTAGTAGAAGGAATCAAAACCACAGCAAATGTAGTTTAAGTTCTGTCATACATGATGAAAGCAAATGCTTCTTTAAAGTCCATGTCTACATCTTCTTTAGAGTTTGGCTTCATACTAAAGCGAGTAAAAACCTCAGTTACAGCTGGAAGTACTTATTTCTTCCTACGAAATGTCGACACAGTGTCACATCCACTGAAAGCATGGAGGAAAGAAAAATACCCGAGAATGAGTTTGAAATGTCATGTACAATGGAGCCAACGTCAGTCCAAAACTTATCAACAATTTGTCCACATTTCCGTTTTCCGATTGCTGTAATTGTACTACATCCGTGTCAGAACCACTTAAAATAACTTAACATCCATAATACAGCAGCATGTTAAAAATAGACAAACATCCATGTATCTGCTTGTTCATGATTACTATAGAGGGGCTAGCTGAGAAGTATAGATATTAAACATTTTCTATGCTGTCGGCGAGATACTTGGTGTTCTACCATAATGTACAACTTTCCATCTAGAACCAGGACCTCGATTTCTTCTGTTACGAGCTTTAAACAATTCTTTAAGAAAATGTCAAATGTCTACTCTTGAAAACTTATTGGTGCAAGATTTTAATAAAGGCAGTGTGAAATCATACTCATCAAATGTTTTTGCCCCGCGTGGTGCACTGGAATTAACTAGCCCGATCATTCACCCACTGCCACTTAAATCTTATGTGATCTGTACACCATCGGGATGATTATTGCCATTCCTCCTTAGCTCGTCTATCCCAGGTTAGCACATCTTCTCAATTCAGGTTAGCAAACAATAAAGTATTTGTGTAATTCAGTAATAAAAGCTGTAAATGGACCTTTGCCGATTGACACTCGTGTGTGCAATCACTGTTTATATATACATGTATATATTTATATAAATATTTTACGCATACTCGATATTGTCCACTGCACATGTATCATAACTTGTTATGTTATATACTCAATTCATAATATCATTCAAAATGCAAACATTTAGTATACAGTCAATAGATTGTTTGTGAATTTAGTAACCTTTTCTCGCTCATGCGAAAAAGGGGCATTATGCAAAATTCATTATCAAAAACGTCGTAAATTAAACTTGATAATATTTCTAAAATAAAGATACATCTTTGTATCTACTTGATCAGATTGAATTTGTTAATTATAAACAGAGAGTAAATTGTTAATTAAGCAATTTGACTTTTAGTGGTTTGCTTTATAATGGCTCGATATTATTAGTTGGAACCTTAGGAATACGTATGAGACAATTAGGCCTATATTTTACTAAAATCCGTACAGCAGTTTTCTAATGGCTTCCTAAAAGCATAACGAACTTGATTTTGCTTGACAATGAAACTTTATAACATGATACAAAATTCCTTAAATTGGATCAATTGTATAGACTGGTGTGCCCGTTACATTGAGTACAATTTGCATGCTATTTGCTATTTGATTAAGTCCTCTGAAGAAATGTTAATTCTCCCTAGGTTTTAATATGAAATGATTTCGATATTTTAAGATATAAAATCCCACCAGAACAATTCAATAAATTCACTAGAGGTTTACAAAGCGAAATGAAATGCATTATAATTAGATTTATTTAGTTGATCGGGTTGGGTTTATAAAGACGAACCATCAAAATGCATTGATGCATATTTTCGTATCATAAATTATTCATATTCGTGCATTGATCTCAGGTAATGCCCCAATTAGTTCAGTGGGTGCTACAGAACTTTGGATTGGAGGGGTCCGTTGCGATTTTTTTCCGAATGTATCATGGGGATGGGCGAGCGAGCATTTAAAAGAGTATTCTTCAATATTATTACATTTTTTACAATGAACACATGCATATTTTGAAAATATTGCTTCAATAGCCCTTTCTTAAGGAGCTGGAAACTGCCTTTGATTTGGGAGTCTGGAGAATTTCTAATACTTGTTCATCTCACTGACTGGTACAAGACAGGGACAGATAGAAAACCCTTGTCATAACAAACGTCATTTTGCCACGATGCAATCATAGAAAACGATTAAATATTATTAAAATAATCTTATTGGCTTTTAGAGCATTTATGAAGTTGTAATGAATAGCAATATTCCAGTATAGTTTATAACCTTCAACCTACTATTACTACTCAATTAAATTAACAATTCACAAGAACAAGAATCAAAAACTTTCTTACCTTTAGTGATGTTCAAAGTATTTAAACTTGTTATAAACAATAGTGTTCTTAGGATGGTCACAAGTCTATCCATGTTTAACATTCTATCTATGAAGCAAAGTTAAGCCAAAAAATAGTCAAATTTCTATTTAGGACAAGGAAGTTACAGTAACCAAATATCCTCTTTTCATAGCACATAAATAACTTAAATAATTATAAGGACACGAAAATCATATGCGTAACTGACTATTGCAGCATATCATATGAAGTATATTATAACACGTAGGTCGCATGAATTAGTAGATTTAAGGGGTGACTCTCAAGAGGGGAGACAGATGGAAGCAGCTGCAAAAACTTCAATGGCTTTTAAGGGCAAGAGAATAGTAAAAGAATATTTTTGTCCATTTAATAATAATAATTCGATGCATTTTTTGACTTTTTTCCCCGGAAACCTGCATTGTTTAAGGTAACCATACTAAAAGAAGACCATACATGATACTCGACCTTCATTTTTTATACTTTTCCATATAGAAGAGACCACTGAACTATCGTAAAGCATATATATTCTCAACCTACATACACAATTAGCCTAAAAATAATTGGTCTATGCACAAAATTCTTTCCTAAACAATAGATATGGAAAAAGTAATAATAAAAAAACAACACAAAATATATAAAAGATATTGAAATAATAGCTAGATATACTTTCATTGTTGGTAAAAATTTGATTTAGAATGGCGTGTACTAACATAGCTAGTGCAGCGTTTGGCCACACGCTTTGCTGCCTTTAATGTTGTAATTTATTCGTCAATGCTCCCGTTACACATATTAAAGGAATTGTAAACAGGTTTCCTAAAAAATATTATGTGTATTGGGGACACTTATAACATCAATTTGCACCATCCCAATTTTCAACCAGATGTCTGTGGTTCCTGCAATTCCACTAAAACTAAGTGTTCGATGAAATCACTAATCGCCAAGGGCCTTAAGCATATTTTGCGATCAGTGAATCAATCACAAACTTTTTTTTTGCATTAACTGCAGACGTCTGACTGAAAATTTGAATGATGCAAATTGATGCTTTTAGTGTACCCGATACCAACAAATTTAGAAAACCTTTTTTCAATCATAATATAATCATAATACGTGACGGGATGAAATAATGTGTCATTGTAACAATACCTACATAGTGTCAAATTATCAGTCGTGTAGAGGGCTTTGTGCAAATTATTTATATATGTACAATTAATTGAGCAATGAACGATGGACCTACTGCAGTTACGGTGGTATGAATACATTGGGCAAGGTGCAATATCGAATGCTCTGCCAAGAGATCGCTCAATGTGCGTTTTTCAGATGTTGCGCAAGTGCATTTGTAGCCTTTTAAGGACGATTCACATCTGTGCCCTTTTATGAACATAATGTGTCGAGACTCAAAACCAGCATAATTTAGATGTTGAATTGATGCGACCCTTAAACTATTAGCAGTGTAGCGCTTACTGGTATTTGCTGCATTGGATATGTTATACATTACATTTTTGTTTTTTGTTCAGTAATTGTGCAGTGTACCATGCACCTATTAAATAACATGTATAGTATTACTCAAACAGTTTGAGTAGTTTTACTGCATAATTTTTATCTCCACTTCAATACATCGAATTGTCGCTTTGGCATTCCTGCACATCAACGCTACCCTGAAAATTCTTCTGTCTTGTCTCATTCTCTATTCTGTAGGAAAGTCCCAAAGCTCAAGACTATGTCATTCAAAAGACTTCCGGTACGCTTCCCACTTGACATCCGCCACTACCACACTTTCCGCCGAGAAATTGTAACCGAAAAATCCCAAAAATTTTGTCGAAATACACCCTCTGTAAAAATATATTTTGGATGAAATTAAGGTCATTCTAGTCCTATTAGTACTATTATTAAGTTGACAGACGAAAGTGTGAAGACAATGATATAAATTAATATATGAAATAATTCAGTTAATAATATATAAATATATTTTTTACATGTATTAACATTTTTTAAAAGACAAATATAATAACATAAATATAAATATATGTTAGACTTCAACAAAGGCCCGTAGCCAGTCTGGATTGTTCGGAAGGGAGAGTAATATATCCGGAGGGGTAATGGTGTATGGTGTTTAGTTACAATAATAAAAAGGTCAGTTGTCGGAATTTTTTCAGGGAGGCTATCCATTTTTATTCGGGGATTGTCCTTCCCTCTTTCCACGGGTAGCTACGGGCATGCTTCAATATCAACATCATCTAGATTTCTACAGTAAAGTGGTCAAATGGAACTTCAATATCTATTTATAAATAAACTAGTAAAAATTAGTAAAAATAAAAAAATAAAAGCTTAATAATTTATCTACCAATAATAATGAATAATATTTCCCTTTCCTCTGAGCTATTAGAAATATGTAATTGGGCATGTCGAAAAGCTTGTGAAAGATTTGGAGACAGCAAAGTTGAAATTTCATTTTAAACCTCATTGTAATGCTTGAATCCGTTTGGTCCCATCATTTGAAAACCGAACTACCAAGCTTGAAAACTTCACTAGGACATTGTTGATTGTGTTTTAGACAGCTATTACAAACATTAGCTGTATAAAATTACATTGTCTTTTTCTCTCTCAATTAACAAACAACACTCCCTTCGTGGTTCTAATATTACTTTACTGCCCTGCTTCACATTCAACATGAATTGGCATAATTCGAAAAATTATCCAGGTATTCTTCAATTGCTCCAAAAGAAAATTGAAACTGTTCCTGCAAAAAAAAGATTTATTTTTAAAATAATGGGTAATTACCTTAATTAATGAATTATTTCAGCTTCAAACGTTTCTGCTCCAGATTAGGCTAATAAAGATAGTAAACTGTGATGACAAATCTTTTTTCATATTTATTTTTAGATTTTAACCAGACACATTTTTGTTTTGAAGTCAAATTCTATTATATCAAGCAATTCCAAATCATTGTTATATTGTCACACAATCTCTTGCACTATTTTAAATATCAAGGTAATATTGACCCCATTGTTCGTCTGTTCTCTGGACACTCCAAGCCGTTGTGCCATCTCTAAAAAATATAGAATGTCAACTTACAAAAGAATTGATAATCTCTGGTCTAGAAATACGTAGTTGTAAAATAGTTTGAATAATGCTAACATCTTGTTCTATTGTTAATCTTTCTAATATAGCAGCTAAAACACACAACAGTCCACTTTTATTGGCACCATTCCTGAAAGAAATTTCATATGATTATCATTCGAAATTTATTATCAGTGTAATATGTTATCTCATCATATCGTTATATCAATAACATTGTGAATAAAAAAGGATGACGTCGGTAATATACAGTGCTAACAACACTTATTTCAGATAATTATCATCAACGCTACTGGTATGGACGTAGTGGACTTTAATTTGTATAAACTGGCGCGATGTGTAACCCTTGTTCTGATGCAGAGTAGTTTTGCATGAAGGAAAGTTTTACCATACTTTTCTAGAACCCGGTACTTGGTTCAAGCATTGTGATTTCTGTGGTCATTAATTCCATGTACCAACTTTAACCACATTCTTAAATAATTTGAGCGTAACTTCCAACACAATCACAAATCAGAAGAATCGACAACGCAAGATATTTTGTAATAATCAGTGTAGTCGTCGAATGTAAGTAAATTTGACACACGGAAATTGGTCACGGACAAATTGGTTACAGTCAACATTTCTAGTGAAATTGGCTGTGAAGTATTGAAGTCATTATTTGTATGCTTGGAAATTACATAATTCATATAGAAAACAAAGATACTCACAAACAACTGACTATCAGAGGACCACTATTATTTATACTGGAAATCTCTTCTAATAAGGTGAATATTGACATTGAACTTTCAGGTATTTTCTTCTGACCTTTCCAGAAATGACATTGATATACTTTTACAGTTCTGTTTATGTTATCCTGAAAAGTATATACGATTGTATTTAAAATATATGTAGATTATAATAATGATTATTTATATGTGTTACATCTGCATTGTAAATTTGTTGTTGTTAGTTTAACGCTTTCTTGATAACTATATTACAGTGGTGTAACCTATATTCGTGCATATAAGAACTCAACACCGAATTTCGTCAAAATTGAAAAACGGAAAAATATTTTCTGTCCTAGATGTTTCTTCAGATATTCTATAAAATAATTAAATTTGGTATGTTTCGATTTTCTTTATGAATCCCCAACTTTGACCTATACTTCACCAGTAACTCGAAGACGGCTGCACTTATTTTCGTGTACAATGTTTGATTTACAAAAAAGTCGAGAAAAAATACCCAGTGGTATAATTAACTTCTCTTAGTTTTTATCTTTAATAATATTTCATTATAACTAATGACAATTCTTTCAAAGAACAATGTTTTAAAAAAATAGTGACTGTCCCAACAAGATAAGTAAAACGTAAGAGTAATTTACTGCTTAAACTCATTGGAACAACATAAGAATATGGCCTACATTGTGTTCCATAAAAATTTTTCTGCTGACATGGAATCCGGAAGTTTGTCACGTGAATTTGTTCACTGGAATATATTCTAGCAGACGACACTTGGAATTCTGATAACAGGTTGGGATTATAAGGAAATTTGGCCGATAAAAAATTGTGATATTTGGTTATTACTAAAATCCGCCATTTTGTATATGTTAGAAATAGATCATAAATTTGACATTACTTTGAAACGATTATCAATGCAAATGCGAAGGTCACGCGAGGTGGCACATGTAAATTATTTATCATTTCCGGAGATGCACGAAATTAAATTCGCATGAAATTAGGTTACATGACTGTATAAGTATAGAACTTGTGTATTACTTATGTATTTTGATTTGATGTACATTCCGCATATAATTATTAATCGAAACAAATGAAATTGAATTAAAGTTTTACACAAGACTTTTCTGTACCAGTCTGTGCTTATGATGATGGACATCGGTATGCTATATGCGGAGAGGGAATCAAGGTTAGGACAAATGACTCTTTGATTTCCAAGTATTCGAGACCACATCACGTGTTACTACTGTTCACCTCTGACCCTCTCACTCTTATCTCCAAATTAGGAAAACCGTTAGAAAGTATACACCCGATCATTACATTAGGTAAGAGTGGGTGTAACAACAACATATAATATAAATCTATATCAGTATTAGGGTTTATTAAGACGAGTCTCAATAAAAGCACTGGCCCGGGTCACAGAGCAATATATCAATATCAGTATACTCACTGATTCTTGAGATATTTCACAGGAAATAACATCATAATAGCCATGACTATTTTTATCTTCTTTTCCTCGTTTTATCATCACTTCACCATACTTTATTTCTGTTTTAGGTATATATTCACCAACATTCTATAGTAATAATGATAGTTAACTAGTACTATACATATCACACTTCTCTCAAATGATCAAAAGTCATCCTGGCTTTTTGGAAATTGGCTTAAATTGACCTTTAAGCTTTGATTATGTTAATATATATTACAATAGGACTTCTAATAATAAGCAAATCCTAAAATTCATCAAGTTTAAATTTAGCCGAAAATATTTCTGTTCGAATTCAGAAGGTTTAATCGTCTTTTCCGATTTCTGATTAGCTTGAAATAATTACATTTTCCTTTTTGTCATCTAAAGCTATGATCACTTTTGTTTCTGAGTTTAAAACCATTAACCAGAAATCTTCTACTGTATTTGGTAGAGGTGTTTGAGTAGCAATATAACCTCTTTTTTTCTTGTAACTCTGAAATGAATTAAATCAGATTATCCAAGCATCTATCTATGACATTAACGTAGGCCTTAAAGGAATACTACCTCTTAGAATGGACATAAAGTTCAAAGTATCAAACTTGGCCAAAAGGTGTACACTTGCATATTCACCAGTTGGGACTTACCTGGGGGCCAAAACGAAACGATAGAATCTAGAAGTAAATGATACGACTTTCAATAATTATTAAGTTTTTGCAGCTTTTCCTTCATAAAATTTAAAAACAATCTCTAATAAGAAGCAGAGTATGTGACGGTTTTTTTTTACCACAAGCACTTTTAATAACGTTAATTACCGGAAGATAAACTGCGTTGATATAATCGGAAGAATTCTCATAGGCTGATCTCATTATCATCAATCTAGCAGAATTAGCTGAAAAATAACAGAAAGAGAGGACAATATTTTACTATGTTTATACTACTACAATAGAGAAAACTGGCTAAAAAACTAGGGTTAGTAGGGTTTATTCCCATATCGCCCCTTCCCATTTCGCTCCTTCCCAAAGCTCCTCCAATTAATCCCATTTCGCCGCTTCCCATATCGCCACTTGCCAATGGAGAAAGGGGAAAATTAGGAAGGGGGCGATATGGAAAAGGGGCAAATTGCAAGGGGTGATATGGGAAAGGGGCGAAACGGAGAAAGGGACGAAAAGGAAATAATTTAGGGGCGAATTGGGAACGGGCGAAATGGGAACGGGCGATGTGGGAAGACACCGGTTGGTAGATGACAGGTTAACGTTTGTTTCCAACGGATACTGATATCGCAAACTAGGTAGTTGGTAGTCGATGTAGTTGGATTGGATGATTCTGTGCTGTATTTTGTAGTTGATAATTCGAGGTGGGATCCAGTGGCGTGGCGATGAAACTTGGCCTTGGATGGTGTGGCGTGAGTTACTTGGTCTTCTTCATTCTACCAAACCCGTTGTGATCGTGGTAGTTATTGTTGAAAGGCAATCATTGGTTTTTTCAGATTATATGATAATTTGAGCTCTTAACATAGCAGAGCTACTTACACTCTTATGGGGTTTCACAAAACATATGGACAATGTACAAGACAACAAAACTGTTTGACACTGCCACATCATCATTTGTTATCGCCATGTTGTCATCTTTCATGTTTATTGACACATCAAATCGATCTTCATCGCATCTCAAACAACATCCATTTATGAAAACTAGAATTGTGCTATTTGATTATCAGTCTGTTGAAAACTGTAAAAAGTGAAATTATATCTTTCCTCACGTTAACGACTGACATCGGACATTGACGTAACATAGTTTAAAAAAACTGTGTAATTGTAATCAATATTGAAATGAAATTATACATACCAGCTAACACATTTTGATCTCTATTTTTATTTATATTTTCTGGTTTAAGAGCTTCTGAGTAACCATCTTTATCTATCTTACAACTTATTTTATTCATCAACTAGATCAAAAACATAGTTTAAATTGTTATGAATCAAATATAGATCATCAGCTAGTTTTATTTTATGATTTAAATATGTGAAGCTGACAAATTTATAACACTTGTAATTCAGATTTGAGAATAAAGTGAGATAAAGCCTGCTATTGAGACATACATTCAGGCAAGTATCATTCCAAACTAAAAGTTAATTCAATCTTTTTATTTTAAGATAACAAATAGATTATATAACGACATGACCCCAACATCCTCCCAAAACACAAATCATATATACCTGATATTTATGTTGTAATTGTGATGTATTATTATGTTTATCTTGTTGTAGAAGTTGATTATATATTTGAGGATAATTTGTTATTGATGTTGTTGTATCATCAGCTATATACCAAACTGTTAGAGCATCATGAAGCAAGATGTACTGGTCCTGACAAAGAAAAATAATATTAAAACTGGTGGCATGAAGAACACTTTTCATAGTCAAGTATTGATCAAGAACTAATCGCTTCGACTTCTCTCTTAAATGTCCGATTGCTTTACTAACTATATGCTACTCCCTTGAAGGTGATACTTTTAATGTGTAATGTTTTCTGTTAACAGTGCCGGAGCCGGTGTCGTTGTTTTAAGGCTTCCCAGCTAAATTACTTTACATGATTCAAATTATTTTCCGCATATTCTCCATATAAATTTCTGAGCTTACCACAGTCTGGACCATGTTAACTCTTTCTTGTCTCATCTGTGATACACAAGAAAAAATATCTACAGAATTTTCAGCTTGAGCTTGTTGTATCAGATAATCTAAAGCTAAATATGTTCCAGTTCTACCAATACCAGCACTGAAAAAAAACCAACAATTTCGCACGGTCAGAACTGTAAAAGCCAATGATGGGAGGCCAAAATTTTTGAAATATAAGTGACATAAATCATATTACGTATTCTGGTGTATTACATCTTCGTTACGTCAATCCTAGATTCCATTGAAAATACACTAATATTAATATAAGTAGGTCTTCAGTGGTTTGTGCGTCTATTAAGCCATTTAACAAAAACACAAGACAATATTATGGAATATAACACACTTCATTAATAATATTGTCTTGTTTTTTTTGTTTTATGTGCTCCATTGTCTTGTGTATTTGTTATATGTGCTCCTCGTCGCTATATGTCGTTCAAATCTTATATTAAGCCATGGCTTGTATATGCTTATTTAAGAAAACACGCTTGATTTTATTTATGCGTCTCAATATAATTGATATTCCTATTTGGTAAGCCTTTGATGAATTTAAATGAAAACAGAAATAACAATTGAGTGTACTTACCTACAATGAACAATCATGGGACCTGGACGTTTGGATGATGACTTGTTGACTTTATTACGGAATTCAACCAATGAAGCAATATCAGATGGTACACCTTTATCAGGCCATGATGTATAGTGATATTGTCGGAATATTCTTGAATTTGAGTTCTGGTATAAGAAAATATCAAAATAACGTTAAGAAATCTTTATTGTCTCCATTTGCCTCTCTGTCCAAAATATATCATTAAAATACTATATCTTAAGTTATACAGTCGACAAATAAGGCCTGTAATTCTTTACAAATCCATTTTTCCGATCATAAAATATGAATAAGAATTAAACTGACTGAAATATTTTCACCAAAACTTTCATATGAATCATTGTTTCTGTAATCTTGGTAATGAGCATTATCAGTCCCAAAGTTAAAAAAATGATTTACGAGAAAATGATGGGAGAATCGGGCACCACAATCAAGGAGACATTGCAACTGCTATGCCAGTCTCAGACGATCAGACGATCTTTGAGCCCGGTTTTTTTAGTCGCGTTAACTTGTATCTACATCGGAGGCGGCTTAAAACATGGCTTGAATAGTTAAGTCAGCTTAGTTTTTCCGTCTGAAAGCTACTGGCTAACATGTCTGCGCGCGCGCATTCGTCATAACAAATTCCCACCATTATCATCGTCATAATGCGTATTCGTAATGGTATTTTAACTAAGCTGACTTTTATGTCCGTCTGAACACTCACCTAAAACAGTAAACCAGACTCGAAGAACGATTGATAGTTAAGCTGCTTTAACTTTAGTCGTCCTGACGCACTATAACCCTTATCTATGCTCTCCTTTGTGAAGACTATAAGTTCAATCCAGACCGAAGTACTATCATCACAGACTTTGAGAAGGCAGCATTTGAGGCTGCCACTGCTGCCTTGTCTCCACCCAATACTGCTTTTACCATCTGACTCAAGAGTACCTGGCGTAATGTATACGACCTAGGTCTAACTAATGTGTACCCAGGCTCTTCTGGGGTAAGGCTATTCACCAGAATGATTAATTAGCTAGCCTTATTGCCAGTTGATCATATAAAAACGGAGAAAGCATAAATTCGCGGAAACACCAAAGATGATCCTGGTTTGGATTCTCTGCCGTCACACTTTGACAACACATATGTGTATCAGTTAAAAGAGGCATTAAACATTTTTATAAGCCCACATTATAATGTGGTCGTATATTGTCGTCGCCCCAGTCCATCCACAATTGGCTTGTGAACGCAATAGAGACAACAGTTTGTATCTGATTTTAATGAAATATGGTTCGACTAGTTCGAATTTGACCATCTTTCGATGAACGGTTTTTGAGTTATTGCCCTTGAATATTTATAACGATGAGATCTTAGTCAAGATTGAATGTGACGATTTTTCGATCAACGGAATATGAGTTATTGCCCTTGACTTAGTAAAAACGTATCAAAATTTGTTGGCTTGTTAACGCGATAGAGGTGATAGTTTATGTCAGTTTTTATTAAATTTTTTGTGTTTGATTAAATCAACTATATCTTGCACAAATGAGATTTTTGGTATGATTTGACACAGATTGGTGACCGCCCTTGATATACTGAAAATGTATCAGGAAATTGGGCGTATCTTGCTAAGCAACCACTTGTTGGTTTATCAATTGTCTATAGTGAGCATTTGTCTACTTAGCATTACCCCATTAGTGAGCTACTGTCCCGTGGGAAACTGTCCTACACAATCTTATCAATCCCACAGACGACTGAAAAATTATAGTGTCCGTTGTTACTTAGTGTTGCTTGTCCAACTGAAAATTGAACGGATAAATTTGAACGAAATTCCCAGTATTCGGTCAAATTTTCCTACTGTTAAACGCTTTAATATAAAAAAAGCTCAACCACTGAAATATTGTACCTTGGTTATTTGTATTTCTCTTATTGTGAAATGGGCATAAACCTCTTCCTTTATCAGTTTCATGTTAATTTGACCAAATTGTTGTGTTTTACCAATATCTGGCCAATACTGCTTACATTTCTCCTGAAATAATATAATGTACAATAATGTGGGATTTTATATCATCTTTCTTCTTAGGATTCAAACTTTTATCTATTAACACAGGATTTGTTACACCAGGTGATAATGCTGTGAGTATCATCCGCCCCTCCTCCAATTCTAGAGAATCGTACAGAATGGACAGCCAGCATTTTCACGAGCAGGTATCGCCGATAACAACATCATATCCAAAATATCTGTCCTGGAAATGATATCTCACGTTAAGGCGACTACATAACGATAGATTGATTTTTATACCATAAAATATTGAGATCAATCTAAGAAAGTTGATTTTATACATACGATGGCGTTTTCAAACAGATTTGTTAACATAACTATTTTACTAGCATCAACATCCCATATCATTCTTATAAACTCTTCCATATTAACTCCAATCGGTCCTTGAATATGAAAATATAATGACATTAATTCTAATCTTGATGGAAATGTACAACAAAGTTCTCTTTCGATATTAGTTGTAATATTATAATGAATATTAAAGGTGTTTTACGCTTTTTTTGTAGGTCGAATTTTTCGCTCATATTAATGATAACTATGCAGCAAGATCTAGACATACGTGTCCCTTAAAGGTGGGTTCCCTTATTTTCATTTATAAAAATGCTAATACTTATATGAATAGAAAGTAGAGGTGTTCTAATGACTTGCAAAAATACTAGTTTGTCTCACATGTCCATAATAAAATTAATAATTAGCTAAATTAAAAGAGAATAACTAGCAGAATTCCAATTCTTACTTATTCTGAAGGTTTAAACTAATTATATCGAGCCAAGGTCAAACTGCTTAATTAACAAGCAGTACGCTCTGATAAATCCTTATGAAACAATTCAGTTTGATCAAGTAGATACATAAACGTATATAGCACATTTTAGAAATATTTTCAAGTATAATTTACGACGTTTTTGACAATGAAAAGTTTGCATACTGCCCCTTTAATATAATACACGACTATCAATCTTAATTGTTAATTAGTCAGTGACAATAAGGAAACTGTAACATTTGAAAATGTTGTTTAAGTTTTCCTTTTTCCTTGTTCAGCGAAAAGGTAAAAAACGGTCATGTCAAATTATTTATATAAGAAAGAGTATTCGATGTTTCATCATATGCCCATGATCATGAGATCATATAAGATTTGAATTTCAGCTTTGAATGATTTAATAGAACTAATACTTTACCTTGGGATGCGATATACTTCGAAGTCTGATCATATTTCTATAATATGAAAATATACAAATATTCATAGGTGTTATATGAAATAATCTGAATTAAGATTATTATCAGTTAAAACTATAACTTACAGTAATATAACAGGCGTTGATATAATTTGAATTAAAATCATTATCATTTAAAACTATAACTTACAGTAATATAACAGATATTGATATAATCAGAATTAAGATCATTATCAGTTAAAACTATAAATTACAGTAATATAACAGATATTGATATAATCTGAATTAAGATTATTATCAGTTAAAACTATAACTTACAGTAATATAACAGATATTGATATAATCAGAATTAAGATCATTATCAGTTAAAACTATAAATTACAGTAATATAACAGATATTGATATAATCTGAATTAAGATTATTATCAGTTAAAACTATAACTTACAGTAATATAACAGATATTAATATAATCTGAATTAGGATCATTATCAGTTAAAACTATAACTTACAGTAATATAACAGATATTGATATAATCTGAATTAGGATCATTATCAGTTAAAACTATAATTACAGTAATATAACAGATATTGATATAATCTGAATTAAGATTATTATCAAAAAAAACTATATCTTACAGTAATATAACAGATATTGATATAATCTGAATTAGGATCATCATCAGTTAAAACTATAACTTACAGTAATATAACAGATATTGATATAATTTGAATTAACATCATTATCAGTTAAAACTATAACTTACAGTAATATAACAGATATTGATATAATTTGAATTAAGATCATTATCAGTTAAAACTATAACAGATATTAATATAATCTGAATTAGGATCATTATCAGTTAAAACTATAACTTACAGTAATATAACAGACATTGATATAATCTGAATTAGGATCATTATCAGTTAAAACTATAACTTACAGTAATATAACAGACATTGATATAATCAGAATTAAGATCATTATCAGTTAAAACTATAACTTACAGTAATATAACAGATATTAATATAATCTGAATTAGGATCATTATCAGTTAAAACTATAACTTACAGTAATATAACAGATATTATTATAATCTGAATTAGGATCATTATCAGTTAAAACTATAATTACAGTAATATAACAGATATTGATATAATCTGAATTAAGATTATTATCAATTAAAACAATATCTTACAGTAATATAACAGATATTGATATAATCTGAATTAGGATCATTATCAGTTAAAACTATAACTTACAGTAATATAACAGACATTGATACAATCTGAATTAGTATCATTATCAGTTAAAACTATAACTTACAGTAATATAACAGATATTGATATAATCTGAATTAATATCATTATCAGTTAAAACTATAACTTACAGTAATATAACAGGTATTGATATAATCTGAATTAGTATCATTATCAATTAAAACTATAATTACAGTAATATAACAGATATTGATATAATCTGAATTAATATTATTATCAGTTTAAACTATAACTTACAGTAATATAACAGATATTGATATAATCTGAATTAAGATCATTATCAGTTAAAACTATAACTTACAGTAATATAACAGATATTGATATAATCTGAATTAGTATCATTATCAGTTAAAACTATAACTTACAGTAATATAACAGATATTGATATAATCTGAATTAAGATTATTATCAGTTAAAACTATAAATTACAGTAATATAACAGATATTGATATAATCTGAATTAGGATCATTATCAGTTAAAACTATAACTTACAGTAATATAACAGATATTGATATAATCTGAATTAAGATTATTATCAGTTAAAACTATAACTTACAGTAATATAACAGGCATTGATATAATCTGAATTAAGATTATTATCAGTTAAAACTATAACTTACAGTAATATAACAGGCATTGATATAATCTGAATTAAGATCATTATCAGTTAAAACTATAACTTACAGTAATATAACAGACATTGATATAATCTGAATAAGGATCATTATCAGTTAAAACTATAACTTACAGTAATATAACAGATATTGATATACACTGAATTAAGATCATTATCAGTTAAAACTATAACTTACAGTAATATAACAGACATTGATATAATCTGAATTAATATCATTATCAGTTAAAACTATAACTTACAGTAATTTAACAGACACTGATATAATCTGAATTAGGATCATTATCATTTAAAACTATAACTTATAGTAATATAACAGACATTGGTGTAATCTGAATTAATATCATTATCAGTTAAAACTATAACTTACAGTAATATAACTGACATTGATATAATCTGAATTAGTATCATTATCATTTAAAACTATAACTTATAGTAATATAACAGACATTGGTGTAATCTGAATTAATATCATTATCAGTTAAAACTATAACTTACAGTAATATAACTGACATTGATATAATCTGAATTAGTATCATTATCAGTTAAAACTATAACTTACAGTAATATAACAGGCATTGATATAATCTGAATTAGGATCATTATCAGTTAAAACTATAACTTACAGTAATATAACAGATATTGATATAATTTGAATTAACATCATTATCAGTTAAAACTATAACTTACAGTAATATAACAGATATTGATATAATTTGAATTAACATCATTATCAGTTAAAACTATAACTTATAGTAATATAACAGACATTGATATAATCTGAATTAAGATCATTATCAGTTAAAACTATAACTTACAGTAATATAACAGACATTGATATAATCTGAATTAAGATCATTATCAGTTAAAACTATAACTTACAGTAATATAACAGGCGTTGATATAATCTGAATTAGGATCATCTGCTAGTGGTTCTAGTTTGACTCTGGTATCATCAACTATGAAAAATGGTAAATTCATATTAATTTGTCATCTCATTTTGTTTCAGCATATTTTATAGTATGTTGCTTTTAGCTAGGAAATTGATGAATAATTTTATTTGTATAAAGACGATTTGATTGCGAACAGAGCAATAATTTTACTCACAAGCACACACATTTTTGTATCTATTCTTTGGTCCATTAATTTCATTCAAACAAATGGCATGTGGCCGACAAAGTCCTTTAGGTAATTTCTGAAGTTAAAATACAGGACAATGTGTAAATAATACATTGGTACATCAAACCTCCTTCTAAATGAATCAAGTTTGTAAAAAAACTAATATCACTTTTGATATACTTTTAGTTAAAATTAAACATTGATAATGCATTAGTTTTACAAAAACAAACATTAATGGCGAATTTAAGGGCATAGTTTGGACACACATCACATATATATCATAATCCACAATAAGAACGACAAATTCAACAGAAGTTAATAGATATCGGTAACGAAATCGGAAAATATTTCTTTTTATATTGTATTTCAAACACATAATTCAAACAGCGGATGCGATACTCAGACTGAACGCTTTTCGTTAGTTGTGATGAACAGCCTTCCTTGTTGTGACGGACGAGGTGTATAAAAGCTTTTTAAGTGTTCAACCTTAATACAGTGCAATGAGCTAATGGTTGGAAGGACTTAATAATTCTAATAATTCTATTATCATTTATATCAACAAACCTGATATTGCTTTGTTATTTGGTCTCTTTTGGTTTGACTGTAGTCCCATAAGTCTGGTAAATCTATCTTTGTGGACAATGTAGAGTTAACAATTTCAATATTCTGATAGATTTGTTGTTGGTTATCCTCATTATCTTCTATTATGTTGACATTTTCGTACAACCGTTTTGCGTTGGAAAGAGACATATCCTCTCTTGTACTTGATTTCAGAACCCTTTTCCGTCGTTTTCTGCAAAAAAGGGAAATTCAATACAAATGCAAAAGACTAAAACTTTGAGAATAACAGATATTAAATTGATATTAGTGAATTAGAATAACAGATAATTGTGTACGTTTAGAATAGGACATGTAAGATATGCAGGTCTGTTCCATACCATTCAACCAATGTTATCAATAGTTATTAACTACTTTGTCAACTGTCAATCTACTGTTAACACTAACACAAGATAAAAAGAAAACTAGAAAATAAGGATTTCCTTGTAATTTATTCATTCATTCATAGTAATTCTTTCGCAGGGTTATGATCTCTTTAGGTTTGGCTTTTAAAAAAACCTAATTGTTTTATTGCAATAATTGACGCGTACAAGAGCACATACTATTTCCAAATCAATTTGTAAGAATAATGGCCATTACTGATGTTTAACACGACTAATTACTAGCAACTGAATATCCCAGGGCATAAAAAACATGAAAAGGAAAAGTCAACAAGATCCCAACAACGAATATTTACCGTCTTATAATTATTACTAGACCGATGACAACTACAATAACTACTACCAAAGTAACAGTTACAGCTGATATAATCGTGATACTATTGTCTGCTTTCTCAACTACTGTAATATAAATTATATTACTCTCTATATCACAGTATATCACGACTTCATTCAAATCATATTGCCATTTTAAAATATGTAGAAAACGACCAAGGAAAAATGAATTTCTTCAGAGGGATGGAAACTTGGAGTATAGTTTTATGCTCCTTGGGTAGAAATGCAAAGTGTCCTCCTCAGCTAAAATTTTACATTATCCAAAATATGATTTTAATTTACCATAGATGCACTCCAAAAAGAATACTGGTGATTAAGTTTTGTACCTCAGTGCTTTCTCTATACATGCGTCACCGTTAAAACACAAAATAAGACAGATTCTTTCATTCTGTTAAAAAGTAATTTCAGGAAATATAGGTTATTACCTTCTTTACAAGTTGGTCCTTGAAAACCAGCTTCACAGCCCAGCTCTAGATCACAAGCACCAGTTACGATATGACAGATAGTTTGGTTATAACAATTACCACAGGTAGAGCTACATCTTAATCCATATGTTCCATTGGGACAATCTAGAAAACATTCAGTGAAATGGAATATTTTATAATTTAATGTATTTTAAATAGACTAGGGGTGATATATAGTAATGATCAACAGAAAATTTAAAATTCAATCACAAAACTATTCAAATATCAAATATATTTTATATCTATTCATAAAATCATAGTATTCCTAACTGCACAAACGATGCCTTACATACAGTACATACAATAACTAACGCGTCTTGAACGGTTGTAATTTCAAAGTTTAGTCCCTACAGATCATATTACTAAACAGTAATCTCTATCTACCTTCAGCACATTTATCACCAATTTTACCAGCAACACAACCATCGGTACATGAACCATTAGTCTGGAGACATGTCTTCTTAAAACAGTTACTACTACAGTTCTTGTTACAAACATCATCATAATAACCCTTAATACATCCAATAGTACAATAACCATTAGTTATATTACATACTGGATTATTGTCTTGTGATTGACATGTTTTATTACATGGTTGTTTACATGACTGTCCATAATATCCATCGTGACATTGGGTACATTTCTTATTGTCATTCTGACTACATATAATACAGTTTTTACTACAATCATTAGTACATGTAGGTCCTGATTTACCAGAAATACAACCATATATACAACTACCATCATTTCTATTACATGTCCCATTATTACAACCTGTACTACCTTTTTCACAAGCTTCACAATCACCATTATTCTGGATACAACCACCATTACAATTAGTAGGACATGGTGTATCACATTTATTACCATAATAACCAGAAGTACAGTTGTTACAATTACCACTAGAATCACAGCCACCTACACAATTACTCCCACATTCTAAAGAATAATATAATTCAATCACATATTGAGGACTTATGAATCTTTTGAGAGAAATTGGCTTTCTAAATAGTATATCTTGATGAATCTAATTTGTGTAATTGTTCTAAGTAAGATCCAAAAGACATTTCAGCAGATTTAGACGATATTTCTTTAGTGGTCTTAATGTTTTGTCGGCTGTATAATAACAACATTGATCTTTTTTTTTATATAGGTATAAACAGCAAAATTATTGTATTGTCAAGTGGATCGTCAGCCTTCAGACAAGGTTTGAAAAATGAACACAATACAATTCCTGATATGTATTGGCGTATCGGTATATGCACACCCAAAATTAAATACGTATAACAAGAAAAACTCACTTTCAAATATTTCTACTTCACAGAGTGTGAGAGGTTTGTCTCCTTGGTTGGGATTTTCTACACTAATATATACATATCTACCATTAAACTGTATATTTTGTGATTGATTACAACTATTTATATTGTAGATATCTTGTATTGTTGTACTAGTATCTTTATAACAAATTGTAGATTGTTTATATCCATCTATATTACATCTACCATTAAAACTTAATCTTAGCTCAAAACCTTGTAATCTTTCTTGATCTGTAAAGATAACATAAGATAATTTCTATAAAATAAGAGGAGGGAATTACTATCATTAGATTGATCGAAGTAAAAAGCATTCTATAC